GGTATGGGGCTGTTTGGTGGGTTCATGGGGGCTACGGACCCCCCTTTTTTGTTTGGTTTTTTGCGGGGTGCTCTCCGACCGCTGACCGCTAGCTGCGGATGGGTGGACCGGTTGGCTGGTCGGCAGCCGACCAATGTAGGGCCGCTGACAGTCTGCGTGACTACTCTTTCTGCCAGCATTTACATCTTGGCCTGGATGAATCTAATCGGAATTGCGTCCATAAACAAGTCCTAGTCTGAGTATGCCCTAAGAAGGGAGAGGTGAAGAGATTGGGAAAAGCGAGGAAGTTACTGATAGTAACAGATTGGGGACCCCCCCCCTAGTTCAGTTTTATCAGGGATACAATAACACAAGGTGCTACTGCCTTCTTCTTTTGTTTTTTCGTCGCTTTTTTTGAAACTGTGACAGTGCGGAGATGCAGACTTTGAATGCTTGGAGAAGGTTTGAAAAAGGGAAAAAAGTGAAGCTCCTAATCAATAGACTGGAATGGTGATCGGGCATAAGAAAAGGGGAAAATAGAGGGGGGGAAAACTGGAGATTACAGTGACTGACTGTCAGCTCAAATTGTGATGCATACAATAACGCACGTTGGGTGGGTGATGTTTGCGCGGGTCAGAACGTGCAGCAAAGGCGAAATAGTATGGAGAAGACATGAGGTTTGAAGAGGTGGTGAAGTCGAAGTAGCATCGATAATTTTGATAAGGTATCAGGTTGGAAGTGGCAGGGATGTGGAAATAGCGTGGAGAAGAGGTTGTGGCTGTATCGGGGATCCAGCAGGGAGAAATCAGCAGGCGCCACGGCATCACGTGTTTTGGAGGGAGCGACCAAGAGGTTGTTGTCAAAGGAGAAATGGCACAGACTGGGTCCTCATTTCCGGAGCAGCTTTTCTTTCTGCGGGACCGTGATGGACTGTCGTTACACGTGGGCCCCCCGAACGATGTGGCTCCTCACAAGTCCTCGTCAGGAAAAATCCCATGCCTTTCTGCTCAATTCAGCCGCGATGGAAGCATGCTTGCAGCTGTGTCGGCAAGTGGTGTGCTACTGGTTGAAACAAACTCAGGCAGGGAGATCCAGAAGCTTGACGTTCCGGGTGTGCTTGCTGTGTCTATCTCTCCCAAGGGAACTTATTTGCAGACCTATCATCGGGCATCTGCTGCAAAGGGGGGAGAGCCGCAAGAGAAGAACCTAAATTTATGGGACATTTCCACTGGTGCCCCTGTGTTCCAACTATTCCAGAAGGTCTTTCAAAAGTCAAGCTGGCCCTCTGTGCAGTTTAGTGAGGACGAGGCAGTAGCATGCCGGCTGGTCACGAATGAGGTACATTTCTATGACGGAAAAGCTTTCTCACGAGGCATCGTGGATAAATTGCGACTGCAAGGAATCGCTTCTACTCGCCTGTCATTCTCACCCGGGTCTCATATTGCAGCATATGTGCCAGAGGCAAAGGGTGCTCCTGCAAGTGTGAGAGTGTTTCAGACCTCTGCTGTGGGGCAGGGCCAACCGGTGGCAAGGCGCAGCTTTTTCCGGTCCTCAACTGTGCAGTTCCATTGGAACAAAGGATCCTCGGGGGTCCTAATTGTTGCACAGTCTGATGTAGATAAAACTAATAAGAGTTATTATGGAGAGAGCTCCCTCCATTTTCTGGCTAGCGATGGAAGCTATGATGGAGCTGTTCCACTGAGCAAGGAGGGCCCCATACACGACGTGCAGTGGGCACCATCGGGAAACGCGTTCGTTGTCGTCCACGGGTTCATGCCCGCGAAGGCCATACTTTTTGATTCCAAGTGCAAGCCGTTGTTTGACTTCGGCTCTGCCAGTCGAAATTTTGCTCGATGGAGTCCGAAGGGTCGATTTCTGTTGCTGGCCGGCTTCGGAAACCTTCCCGGCGACTTGGAATTTTGGGACGCTAAGGCGCTCGATCGCCTGTGTTCTACAAGGGCAGAGTGCACCGTCTCATGCGAATGGTCTCCCAACGGAAGATACGTGATGACTGCGACAACAGCTCCGAGACTGAACGTGGATAACGGAATCAAAATGTTCAAGTATGACGGGACCCTGGTTTACGAAAAGAAATTTGAGCTCCTGTACCAGGCTGAATGGAGGCCGGTGCCCGACGAGGTCTACCCCGATTTGCCGGCGTCCCCAAGGTCATCGAAGAAGATGGATGCTGCAGCCGCTGCCTCCTCTGTGGCGGATCAGTATGCGGGTAGAGGAACCTCTGCCTCCAAGCCTGTGGCAGCGCAAGCAGCAGGGCAAAAGCCAGCGGCTTATCGCCCGCCGCACTTGGCTGGCAGGTCTTCCGCGGCATTCAATGTGCTGATGTCAGGATCAGACGATAAACCACACAGGATCGGTGCTCTTGGCCAGGCTGTAACTCCTCCAGGGGCTCATGAAATGAGCAAGTCAGCTCTGAAGAACAAGAAACGCCGCGAGAAGGAAAAGCAGAAAGCCAGTGAACGAGCATCTGGAGTGGGAACAGCTGCTGCTGGTGACATGCCTCCGGCCAAGGCTGCCAGCGATTCTACCGCTGTGAATGCCATGGCCGATGAGTTCTCTGCGATGTCGACATCACCAGCGGTGCCGGATGCATCTGCGCCTGACTCTAGCGGTGAAGATGTTCAGAAGCGGATCCGGGCAATCCAGAAGAAACTCAGGCAGATTGAGGAACTCAAGAACAAGGCGGCGGAGGCCGGGGGTCTCGCATCACTCGCCGAGGCGCAGAGGGTAAAGGTGGCGTCTGAGGGTTCATTGATCAAAGAAATTGAGAATCTGCAGGCACAACTGCGGTAGACTTAGGCGGAAATGGCATTTGACATCTTTTGGTCTTTCTTTTTCATTTCATTTTTAACCAGCTGAAGGCTCACATAAATTTTGCCGACGTCTGCCTCTGTGAGAGAAAGAGCTCTGTATGTGGATAGGTCTGGTAGGTGTGGATATATCTGGTAGGTGTGGATAGATCTGGTAATCTGGACCTGCGTGCGAAATAGGGTCCTCATTCTCACTTTTTCATTTTATTTTATTTTATTTTCTGAAAATTTTACCGCGTTCAGCTGCCTGCCCACATTCACACAGACTTTTCGAATTTCCTTTGTCTGAAGATTTTGCCGCGCTCATGCATGCATTTTTTGTCGGATGAGTTCCTTTCCTGTGTCCTAGCTGGTGCCGATAAAGACAAGGAATACCTGTGGTGTGGTCGTGTTGACAATTAATTGTTTCATCATGCCATTCGTCATCTTTCGTCATCAGCATTTTTCGCAGTGAGCATGTCCTTATGACTCATGTGAGTCACGTCTTCCTCGCACATCAGTACCACCATCCTCTCCAGGAATAGGACACACGGTCATTATAGCTGTATTCAGGGCAACTTCTGGACCAGATACAGCGATAATGACCATACGCTCTATTGGGATGAAGATGGCAGCTTTGCCAGAAAGAACTTCAATGTTCAATCTATGACAGGGAGGAAGAGCAGTACCTTGCCTCTAGATCTCTCCCTTTGTCTTGGAGAGTTATTTTGTAAGTGTCGCCCTTTTTCTCTTTCAAAAGGGGCTACACGACCTTGAGATATCATTGTCGAACTGACCAACCGTTTCAAACTCTGTTTCCTCTGGATGTCACATGCAGTTTAGTCCTGTGAATGTCTGCCTCAGAAATTCTCTGCGATGACGTGGAATTGTGAAATCGTTACCGAAAGTTTTTGACGGGCCACCTCAGGAAAAAGGGCAGAAGAAGGAAAAGCAAAAATACAAAAACGCCAGGAGGTGCTATATTAATTATGTTTTCCTTTTCTCCTCAAAGGATGGAGATTCAGGGCATCTGGCTCCGCTACTCACCAAATGTGCAAAACGAGATGAATCTTCTGCTAGGACACAGAAAGATGCCCCGCCATATTGTGCCTCGTTTTTGCATGTGGTGAGTAGTGGAGCGAGGCCTTCATATTTGCATGTGTCGTCAGTTTCAAGATTGGACAGAGAAGGAAGAAAAAGGAAAAGAACAGACGAAAAACAACGGAAGCGCGAGTCTAGAAGATTGCTGCGGTTGGGTGGATCAGCAGCAAAGGCTCTAGTCTTTTGTGCAGGTTTTGAGATGGTCTTTGAACATTCTACTTGCATCTGGATGCTTTCTGGACCCGGTACATTCAAAATATTGGACTCCTGGGAACACACGAGGTCCAGAAAGCTTCCGAATGCATGTAGACGCTTCCAAATGCATGTAGAGTGTTGTGTAATGGAGCGAGGGCCTGTGTATGCACTTTGCATGCATGTATTTATGTCTGCATGCAATGTATGTGTAGTTGTGTACACTTAGAACTTGGTATGCGTACCGCAGTTTGTAATATGCCGCAGACATGCAAGTGACCTGCCGGCCACAGACATGTACATGACCTGAAATCTGCTGTAAGCTCGTACCGAGATGGTACGTGGGCACAATTGTTGCTTGGATACATCCAGGAAAATGCCAGTATGGATGCATACAACACCGAGGCGAGATCGAAAGATTGGATGTGCTGGCCGCCACACACTACCCTCTTCACCCGATTACAACGCACAGTCATTATATCTGTATTTTGGGTGTCTTTCAGTCTAATTACAGCAATAATGACTGCACGCTGTATTCAACTGAAGAACGAAGTGGTGAGTGCGCACTGCATGGGTCCTGGGGACCAAATCACGCAAGAGTGTTCACACAGCATGCATTGTCATCAACCACACTGAGCAGAAGTCTCCACACACTTGACAAGGAAGAGATAAGAAGAGAACCGAGTTGCGCAGCTTATATTACCAATATCGTGATTACAAAGAGTGTCACAAGTCCCTGAGTTCAAGCGCCAACCAGCACAGTACGAATCTCACGTTCAACTTGTCAATGTGGCCTTCACATATCAGCGCCACCTCAGCAGATTACACACAACTCAGGTAAGTGTCCACCATAGGCCATTTCCCTACTTACATTCTCTGATCTCAGTCCCTTCCTTCCCCTACGCATGCACACTCTCTACCTCCTGTGAGGATCTACTCTGAATGCAACTCATAGAAGACTACTTACTAACCCTCTATCCTACTACTAAGTCGCTGGGCACCTATGGCTGCTTCTCCTTCCCAGCGCCCAGCTTCTCTTCCCCTCAGCGCATCTGCATTCTTCCAGCACTACTGCCTCCTGACTAGCGCACAAGCACAACAGCACTTCCACGCGTTGAAGCCAGTGGGGATCTGACTGCAAGTGAGGCTGGTCTCCTCTTTATAGTGCTGGCCTCCTTGTGTAGGGTCTGCATTGGCACGTTCAGGCCTTCCTTTGTCCCAGACCCTGCATTGCATGTGTCCCAGTACTGTCCCAATGAGGTCTGCTGCTGCTGAGGCCATCCGGCCTGAATTTTGGACTTGAACGTCTGGATCTGGACTGCTTACCAGACTTAGACCAGAACTGGGACTTTGTTTGTTGACTTTACCTCTGAACAGACACAACTTCAGGACAAACATACCCACCTACTGCCTGAACAGACATCTGTATTGCACGAATGGACATTCTCTTTCTGCACGAACAGACACACTGACTGCACGTACAGACACATCCCTATATGAATAGACATGACATGCACCTCCCCTGGCGAACAGGTATGACCTTCAAATGGTGACTGTTCGTCCAGGGTTCAATCATGACCTTTGGCAATGACTTCTGCTTTAGTTTGGATGTGCCCTTTGACCCAGAGAACTTGACCTTTGATTTGCTTTCACGTTTTGGGCTCTGGGCGAGTGACCACTTTATGCTGCATATGCTGAACAGGGTCTGAATCAAGTAAAAGGCCCTTTTAGCACAAATGCTCATCGGATTATATTTGGGGACTGTAAAAAAAATTCTGAGGTTTTGTAGGTTAGTGCACGACCCGTGAGGGCAATATTGTCCTTGACCTGATTGTCGTTTACATTTTTGCTGTCATTTTCCGGTTCCCCCCCCCCCCCTGTTTT